CATGTCTCAAAAAAGTTGGGACAGAGCAACAAAAAGCTGACAAAGTGGTACTAACAAGAAAAAGCTGGAAGAACATTTTGCATCTGATTAGGTTAATTGGCAACAGGTCAGTAACATGATTGGGTATAAAAAGAGCATCTTAGGGTCCCCACACACCTTACGATTATCGTACGATAATCGTGGGAAATCCCGCGATCGATGATCGTAAGGTGTGTGAAAGCCGTGTGACCTCTACTACTGTAAGGTCGCACGACTTTAAATTTACGGACATGTTCGAAAACCCGCCGAGCATCGTACGATGTTCGGCGGGTTTGTGGCATGTCCGTACGATAACAGCCGTACAGGCCGGTGTGCGCAAGCGCACACTGCCTGTTCGGCATTGCGGTCATGGGAAGCCCGCCCCTCAGGGGGCGTGGCTTGCGATCATCGTAAGTACGATCTGCCTATGCAACATTTTTTTCAGTACCTTACAACCATCGCAAGACAAAAGTCTTGCGATGGTTGTAAGGTGTGTGCCCAGCCTTAAGGTGCCCATACACCTTACAATTATCTGCAGATTTTCTGTGGTCAGATGGAAAAAGTGCAACAGATTGGCCCAGGTGGAGATTACTCCATCCACACAGTTTAGCGTAGATGGAGGAATCTGTTGCACTTTTTCCATCTGACCATAGAGAATCTGCAGATAATTGTAAGGTGTATGGCCAGCTTGAGAGAGTCAAAGTGTATCAGAAGTAAAGATGGGCAGAGGTTTACCAATCTGTAAAAAGCCACACCCAAAAATTGTCAAACAATTTCAGAACAATGTTCCGAAACGTAAAATTGAAAAAGACTTTAAATATATCATTTATAGTACAGAATATCATAAGGTTCAGAGAACCTGGAGAAATCTGTGTGCAAGGGACATGGCCAAAACGCAATATTGGATGCCCATGATCTTCGGGCCCACAGACGGCATTGCATTAAAAACAGGCATGGTTCTGTGATGGACATGTCTCCATGGGCTCAGGAATATTTCCACAAATCACTATCTGTGAACAAAGCTCGCCATGCCATCCAAAAATGCAAGTTAAAGCTCCATCATGCAAAGAAGCCATATGTGAACATGATCCAGAAATGCCTCCGTCTTCTCTGGGCCAAGGCTCCTTTCAAATGGTCTGTTGCAAAGCTGAAAACTGTTCTCTGGTCAGACTAATCAAAATTTGACATTGCTTTTGGCAACCAGGGGCAGCACGTCCTCCGGACAAAAGAGGAGAGGGACATTCCGGGTTGTTATCAGCCCTAAGTTCAAAAGCCTGCATTTTTGATGGTATGGGAGTGCATTAGTGCGTATGGAATGGGCAGCTGGCACATCTGGAAAGGCACCATCAATGCTGAAAGATAGATCTGGGTTTTAGAGCAGCCTATGCTCCCATCCAGAGGACGTCTTTCAGGGAAGGCTTTGCATATTTCAGCAGGACAATGCTAAACCCCATACTGTATCTATGACAACACCATAGAAGCATAGTAGAAGAGCCCGGGTCCTTAACTGGCCTGCCTGCAGTCCAGACCTTTCACCAATTGAAAATACTTGGCGCATCTTAAAAACGAGAAATACGACAAAGAAGACTCAGGAGGGTTGAGCAGTTAGAATCCTATATCAAGCAAGAATGGGACAACACACCTCTCCCAAAACCACCAGCAACTGGTCACCTCACTTCCCAGACGTTTACAGAGTGCTGTTAAAAGAAGAGGGGATGCTACACCGTGGTATACATGGCCCTGTGCCAACTTTTTTTTTTTTTTGTAGACGTGTTGCTGCCACTAATTTTAAAATGCTTATTTTTTTCTTAAAATTGTCAATTTTCTCAGTTTAAACATTTGATATGTTTCCTATTGTGAATAAAATACGGTTTTATGAGATTTACAAATCATTGCATTCTGTTTTTATGTAGATTTTACACAACAACATTCCCACTTTTTTTGGAATGGGGTTGTACAAGAGGATTGGACACTGACAAACAAAGAATTGTAGACCAGCCCAGTATACCCCTCCTACTCCCAGCATGCCTCTGTTTTGTGGTAAAGCAGTACCAAGTGCATAATCTTGGATCCCGTGCCCCTCAATAGAATCCAAGAAACAGATTTTACAGGAAGAATAAAAAAAACACATTTTTTTCCCCTTGTCCATTGAGGGATACAGGAATTCAGAAACTCTCCAAACATCCAAAAGCAGTTGAAATGAGTGATGGGCAACAGCAATAAAACACTAAGGGGCCCACAAGCAAAGACAAAACTGAACAGAACTGGGCATGGTTTGCCACCCGGAGGACCTTACTCTTGAAGCTGGCAGCAGATGAGACGTGCATATCTAACCTGCTAATTGTATGAACGTTATGCGGATACTGATGTCAGTCTAAACTCTATCATACTACTCCTGCCCATTGCACCCTTTCATTGAGTCAGCTGGATTACACTGAGAGCGTATGCAGTGTGTTTCCACCCACCAACTCCCATGGACTCGCAGTACAGGAGGAAGTTAGAAGGTGGGAGAAACAAAACAGAGGCGGTGATGTAATAAGGGAAGTGCAGTCCCGAGGAAAAACATGCCAATTTGGAGCTTTGGTAGGGCAGTGCATCATGGGTCATGTAGTGCCCTGCAGGCTCTGCTGTTTTCTGGTTGGTCACGTAGACTCTACAGCAGGGGTAGCAAACCTCTGGCCCTCCAGCTGTGTTGGAACTACAAATCCCATGAGGCATTATTCTCACAGCCACAACTCCCGAAGAGAGATACATCATGGCATTTGTAGTTTCACCAGAGCTGGGGGGCCGGAGGTTTGCTACCCCTGCTCTACGGGAAGCCAAACGCTTGGGAGTGCTTCTTTTGCAATTCACAGAGGAGAGGGTGCAGATTTATAGCAGCTATGGAAGGGGGTAAGCGAAATATAACAAATCAGCACTGGCTAGGACATTAAAGTCCATAACAAAGTCTTTGTTTTCTTACAAAAAGCAAATTCTGCTACAAAAGGTGTAGCCATAGACAATCCGGTCTGATGGTATATCTAAAGGAGAATGTGCAAACAACTATGACATGCAGGGGCCAGCCTGACTAAAAGCAAAGTAATTGGATTATTAAGGTTTGTCTTCATATTACAGGAGATTATACAATTGGATTGTATAATGGAAGGCCAGTTTAAGAGGACTTGTAGAGAATGACTGAGTTACTATACAAAAAGATTAGTCCAATTTTTAGTCATAGTGGAAGAAAACGGCTTGCAGTGTTACTAAAATACTAGGAGCCAACTTTCATAAATGTTTATGATGAAAAAGGCTAAAGTATTTCAAAGCTGGACAAATTCTTAGAGCCTTGGTAGCCAATGAACCTATAAAAATGTTTTCCCCCCTTATCTCTCTATTATTGTCAATTAAAAGCAGATCTTTACCCCCTCTCACTATAAATCGCAGCAGCTTGCAGCTTTCCCATTTATTAAACATATTTTGCTTTGAATTACTGTTTTTCCACTTCCTGGTCCTCGTAGGCATTGGTGATGGAGCCCATGCCAAGAGACACATTCTGGGAAGATTACATCAGCAATGCATTGCTGGGAAATCTCATCTGTAAACTGCAAGATCTCAAAGAAAGGCATTTTCCCACTCTGAGATGATGTACATGGTCACATGTGCCAGAGTTCCAGGAAGTAAAGGGTGGTATATTAATCTACCCTCAGTAAACATGGCCACTGAAGAATGGGAAGGAAAATAAAAATACGGTATGAAAAGAATAAAAGAATGCAATTATTTATAAGTATCTGTTTGTAGATTGTCATTACTAAACATTTCTAAAAGGTGTCTGTTGTCATTTCAAAGATATGGGTAAAGTACCTCTTCAATATATAAATGTTCCCTAACAGTCTACCAGCTGCTAGATTGTGCTTACTGGCTCCTGAAATATAACACAAGTTTGTTTACCCTGAAGTATTCCGTTCTCAATGGCGAAGCAACTTTTTAAAGAAGAATTTTTTCTTAAAGTGGACTATACCTAAATGTTAAACATAATCAAGGGAAACAGAATGGCTTAAAGCCCGACTCCAGGCTCCCCCCCCCCACCCTTTCCAGCTTAAGGACAGTGATGGCAGTATTTTGTTTTCAGATGTCATCTTCTGACAGTGGTTCTGGATGATCCAGAATGCAGCACAGACATAACACCACACTTCTCTGCATCAATACACTAAGTACAGAGTGCCATGAAGGTAAATCTTGCAGCCAGAACTGCCTTTTTCTTTATACCACTACCTGGCGAGCATAAAATATTTGCATGGAGTTGGGGTTTAAACACTTCTCTAGAAAAAAATGCTGCTTCATGCTCCTTTTAGTGTGATCACATATCTGAAACCTAGACATTTGGTCACTTGACCCTACTGAACAGGAGTCAATCTGTCCTTGCTATGGAGGAGCCAATATGAACTCTTACCTTTTCCTCCAGCGGAACAAAGTTACTAGGCTTTCAGACATGTGGCCAACACTGAAGTACCTGAGCACAATTATCCCCAGGAAGGGCATTCTACTCTATTAATCCATTTAACACAGCTATGTGGAACATCTTTTGGTGAAGGTCCACCTTTCCTTCTTGTAAAGTCTGCCGATGGCAAAAAACGAAGATGTTATACCATTTATTATGATTGATGAACAATTTCACACAAACCTGACTTTCATTACTGGTAAAAGGAAACCATATCACAGCCAATGTCTACTATTACGTTCCACAGTCATCTGGGAACTTTCCAGCTAAATCCTCCCACTGGTGTGAATAGAAAATGGTGGGGACTACCTTACTGGGCAGCAAGCTCAATATCACAGCAATGGCTGCAGTATAGGGGATTTGTAGCAACTGGAGCCAATGTTATAATACCTTGGCATCAATGGTGCAAATATCAGCACTTGGCTATTAACATAATAATAATAAGTCTGCTAAATCAGTGAAATAGGAACTTTACACTTGCATCCAAAAGGATTTTTTTTTGTACCGTTAAGCACTCTATGTCTTCAGCAGTTTCATCTGCACTGATCCCCTCTTCTTCCTCATTGTCGTCATCCTCTTCCTCAAAACAACCCACCGCATCCACCGTGATCAAGTCCTCTGACTCTTCCATGTTCCATGGCTCTTTCTCACGAAGCTTGACCTGAAAAAGACAATAGATATGACCTGGCAATTTCCTGCAGAAAAACTTTAACAAGTAAAATCAAAACAACCTGTTAACCACAAAAGGTTGGCAAAAGGCTAAGGTTACAAAGTCCGCCCTATGTACCTTTCAGTGTTCTATAGGCAAAGCAGACAAATAAAAGCTGACCTCCGAAAGCATATCATTGTCTCATGATGGCACAACTTACGAACACACACAATTTTTCAGTACACTGTGCATCCTTGGCGGGGGCCAGCACAGCCTTCACTCTATTTGTACAAATGTATCACCCTACAGTCCAGAACATGTACCAAGCAGGCACAGGCAATAAACGGCATATGTGCAAAGGTTAGATGATGGAAGAGACTGCAATTTATGTTAATGGCTACTATGGCATATAACAACTACAGGTGCAAAGGTGAACTTATCATTTACACAAAAAAAGACTTGCTTTCAGCTAGGCTGCCTCCATCCATACAGTTTCACTTACAAAGAACAAAAGTACTGTAGTGTGCTGTGAGAGGCAGAGCATGCGTATATATTCTCAAATGTGGTTGCTACCAAATAAACTGTACAAAGAAAAAAACATTAAAAACTCACTAATAAAGATCAACCCCAGGTTGCCCCCCCCCCTTTATTAGGTTTGGGGTTTTTTGTGTGTGTGTGCACACTACTTATGGACCCATTTTCCATAAGTCTTCGGTTTGGTCACATGACGTCAGGGTCCTCTTCCTTTGGGGGTGGGAGGGTAAATGTCACAATTTCGTGAGCCCAGGGCGGTTTGATGACATATCAGTGGGTAGGTCATAGAATCTTGCAGGAAGTGGATTGAATGATGCTGGGTGTTATTCAACCTGTTAAAGAGGACCAGCGCTACATTGTAGAGAGGGGAACCAATGGGGGAAAGCATTTTTATTTTAGGTGGTGTACGACACTGAATTTTTAACATTAAGCCGGAGTAGGGCTTTTAAAATAAGCGAATCAAAATGCTGCAATATGCGTTTAGTGTTTGAAGCCAAAATAGCCACCGTGCTTGAGTTACCCCTCTCCTCTCTGTATACCTCCATCATGCTCCTCTCTGCATACCTTCATCCCATTCTTCCCTCTGTATACCTCCCATCCTGCTCTACTGAAAGCTTGCGGCAACATAAGCAAACTTTTCAGCCTCCTCCCCCAACATTCTCCTCTTTACCTCCTGTGACTTTTGTTTGTGCTCTGGGGATTTCACGTGCTCTACAAACTTGCGTGGAGTCTTGAAGTGGCGGCTGCACACTGTGCAGAATGGTCTTAGAGAGCGTTTTGCCATCTGAAAGGAAGGACAAAGTGTTAGCACAAGGTCAGTAATATCTTAATCCTGTAATTCACATGCACATTTGTGGATTTTAAAAGTCCATAATGTGATCTATATTTGAAAGCACAGGAACATTACATTTAAAGCAAACCTTTGCAAGTTGGTTTAAATGATCTTTCTCTCCAGTAGCCTTTCCAGTGCTGCCACGCTGTTCAGATGCCAGGAGTGATGAAATAATCCATTACATCTGGATATAAAAAGATTCCCCTTTCTCTCATGACTGCACTGGAGCTTGGTGATTGCCCCATTGCCATCACATAGAAGCAAGGCAAGACATCTTAGCCTTGTGCAAGTTCCTACTAGAGCATCTCTGAGCTTGCACAGGACTTCCTTTCCTCACTACTAGCAGTTAAATGGAGTGGCAGGGAGAGGATAAGCATAATTTGCTGGGGATGGGAACATTTAAATTAACATGTTGCTTTGTCCTCCATGGGTGAATAATAGGTTTGTTGAAGGAAAACAGACCTAATGTGTAGTAGTGTTTTTCCAAAATTGGAACTGGCACGCTGCACATGCAAATCTGAGCCCCTGAAATCCAATTTTAGAGCCATCAATGTATATGAAAAAAGTTGTTGGGCCCTTTCAGGTCTAAAATCAGGTGACTGCTGTATTCTGGTCTGATGTTGGTGTTTACTTTCATTCTGGAAGGTGGGGGAGGCCAGCTGGTGAAGCACAATTTTAGTACACTTTATAAACAGTATTATTGATTTTGTACCAAGAATGACAATTGAATGTTAGTTTAAGAGAACACAATATAAGCTGCAAAAGCCCTGGATTGGAAAACCCTTTAAAATAGGGTTCTGAAACAGGAATCTCAAACATCTGCTAGTGTTCTACAAGGCTGCATAACAGCTCAATAATTGGGCCGGTGCAACACACAACTGAAAGCAAGAAATTACACTTAGCTGTAACTATGATAAAAATTACAAACCTTATGTTCCTGAGTCCGACGGTGTTTGATTAGGTCACAGCTGAAGTGGACTTGACAGACATTGCACCATCTTGGCTGTTTCTTTCTACTGCAGGTGAATAAAAGCAAAGATTAATCTGAAGATGACATCTACCAATTTTAATTTGCGTGGAAATAGACAAGGTTCGGATTTTCCAGGAACCCAGCTGGAGACCTCCACACCATCCCTGACACAGCTGAGGACAAGTTACTTTTCAGTTAAGCTCCTAGTCTCACCTGCTCAAAAGTGTTCTCCATGTATTTCTATAAGCATGGAAAGAGGGTGCTACATCACTTATATAGCAAGCGGCTACTAGTGAATTCCTCATTGGAAAACAGAGAAAATTATTTCAGTAGGTGTCTAGTGACGTTTGGTTGAATGGTTGAGCTTAACTTCCTACAATTGTATGGGGGTATGGCCGAAGTCTCTCCCCCTGGGTCCCAGAGAACCAGCACAGTATGAAACCCTTCCCCACAGATCTCAAAAACACATTCTTGGTATGATTAAAGTGAACAAGCCATCATCTTAAAGTAAACCTGGCATATCAGACAGGTAGTAAACCTCATATTAAAAGTTAAAGGCAGGTCTTTATCTACATCTATTGGAGCACCATAGGAGACCCAAAGCACAAGAGGTTTATACTGCAAGTACTGTATCTTCCAGTTATAAAGTCAGAGCTCTGCCTCCAGCAATGTATGTTGAGTGATAAAGGTGGTGAGGGGTCATGCAGGGAGTTAAAAGCAGGAACCTTAAGATACGTTCCGTTAGACTTACCGGTAACGGTATTTCTAGGAATCTTCCAGGACAGCAACCTGAGATGATTGGTTCCACCTTCTACAGGAAACACAATTAGCAAAACAGTTAATCAGTGGTTTCTTAAAAAGAGGAACTATAGCAACAAGACTGCGGGAATCTTTCTTCCAATTGGGCTAGGAAAAGCAGGACCAAGATATCAAGTCTCCCATATGTCACCACTTTCCATGCAGTCCTGATGACCACTGTGCTGAGAATCTTCTGAAAAATGGTAACAATAAAAGTGCTTCTTGCAACTCACCCATCTCTGCCATCAATGCTGCCTTGGTTCTCCCTGGCAGTGGGCAGGAGGGTGACCAGACAGGCATTACTCATGTGCTCAATCTCCTGGAGCTTATGTTGATGCGGTACTGTGGCAAGGTGAGACTGGAAATTCTGAAACACATTCCAACAATTAAACTGAAGTCCAAAAGTCAACAGGAAAAAGACAGATGGAGGGCACATATGAAACTCACATTACATCTGCACACTGCATTTTTACAACCCTATAATACATTATTTACAAAATTATCAGTAAATATTAACTTTCTGGTAAGCAAATTTTTTTTTGTTTTTTTTTCACATTTCTATTCTTTCATAGAGATTTTCATTTTCATCCTGTGTTTCTGTCAACTAAACTTCAATTAAAATTAACTTCAGCCAAAATCTTTCTAATTTAGGAAAGATTGAAAAGGGGTTACAATCTTTGGTTTTTATTGCCGTGTCTCTATTTGGGGGTTCCTACACTTTCTGTTCCCAGAGTCACAACAGGAATACCCCAAAAATGAGGTGTAAAATTGACTGACAGTTGTCACTGAAACAAGGGTTCCTATTTCGCCTTTATTCCAGGTTGTTCAGGTGACAACTATAACATTTATCACTTCTCTTTCCTGCAGCTTTTATAATTAGATGTACTGGTACCTGTAGACTGTGATAGCTGGTTTTGCACACGCAACAGCAAAATCTGGATTGGTTTTGCACGGAGCTCCCTGCTGTGCTGTTCTTCTCATGACAGGTGGGCTGCAGAGCTGTGGTACGACTTTCACTTCGTAGCTGGATGGTCACTTTCAGGGCACGTCCTCCGCTTACTCCCTGCCAGGCAGAAAAAAAGATCAGTATCAGCAGTCATATAAAAATGGTAATAACACAAACCCCAAGATGATCCATAGAGACTAGCACTACCTCAGGAGACTGAGATTCCACACTTCGCTCTTCAGCAATAGTCCCCTTTTCTGATGTACCTGTAATAAAACACCATATGATATGAGCAGAACAATTTCTCAGAACTACTCGCATTACAGAACAAAAAAAAATAAAGCGAAGATAAGGTGCGAGACTTCAATGAGGCTTAGAAACAAATGTTAGAGCAACATTAAATGTCTCAAGTTGAATCTAAGTCAGAATTTCTCAACTGTAAATCATATAAATCAGACTTTCACAATTATTATAGGCATGTTGAAGAAGAACTCCGGGCAAATAACATCTTAACTGTTGCAGCGGGGCTACTGCTGAACTGCAAGGGTTAAGCTCTTGTTTTGTCTATGGACCTAATATAACAGAGTTAAACTAACTCACTCAAACCACAATCCCGGCTGGCTGTTACACCTGTCCCGTCAGCCACACTCTCGCTCTGTACAGGATGTGATGACTCACAGGACCTTAGACCGCTGGAGCAGTGGGAGAGAGAGGCTGAAGGGACTGGTCTAGCAGCCAGCCAGAATTGTGTTTTGGGTGAGTATATCTCTGTTGTTATTTTAGGTCCATAGACTAAACAAACACTTAGCCCTTGCAGTGCAGCGGTAGCCCCACTGCAAGGGTTAAAATTTTATTTGCCCAGAGTTCTTCTTTAAAGTGACATTAAAGTCAAGCATTTTTTTCCCTCCCCCCCAATGTTAATGAAAGCACTTACCTTAAATGATGTCTCTTAATCCGATCTTCTTTCCTGTCCTTTTCATCTGTCTCTCCAGCGCTGTGGCGGGTCTCCGATCCAGCGCTGACCCCTCTATCCTTGCTGGTACTTCCTGCCCCACGGTGTCTGCATGCGGGTGCACCCGTCCATATACTTATCTTGTGTCTCTCGTCTCCCGGCCGAAAATGTGAACTGCGCATGCGCCCGCCCCAAGATGCTTTGCGGACTCACGAGAATTTTCACATTTTCGGACAGGAGCGCGCGGGGAAGACACAGGTAAGTTTAAACCGCTTTTACAGCGGGCTTTTTTTTTTGTACACTTTTTGCATATATCTACTGCTTGCTAGCAGTAAATATCTGTACAAACAATGGAGGGTTAACCCTTTAACGTAAATTTGTTTAAAACAAACTTGAAGTTCAGCCTTTCTAAAGGTCCACTGGAATGCAATTGCATGTACTTAAGCACACTCCAGTATCCGCATTCTGAGCACTCCTGGGTTCTCAGATTTTAACCATCCCCCATGATCGAGGAGCCTAAAGCTGGGTATACACGCTTGGAATGTCAGCTGGCTCTTGATTACCCGGACAAAATTCGATGAGTGGGTGCTGAGGTCAGCACTTTTCCGACCAGCATCCCTCCATCAATAGATAGAAGGAGCAGGTCGGAAAATTGTGGGCCGAACAGAGCTGGCAGCCAATGAGCTGCCAGCTCTGTAGGGCTGCAACAACTAATCGACATAATCGATTATTGAAAAAGTTGTCAACTTTTTCAATAATCGATTAATCGGCTTCCGATCAGTTGGCCTTGTTCACAGCTCCACACGCTGTGCGCCGTACCTCCTCCCCACCTCACGCTCGCTGCTGCCAGACCCGCCCGCATCCATGCTCCACACGCCGCACACTCACCGGCCACCCACATCCACGATTCTGTTCAGGTATTGTGGCAGCAGCTGGTGGCTGCTGTCAGAATACAAAGCAAACCGCATGAGATTCCTCAATCAATGTTGGAAAGCATCGATGGAGGAATCTGTTCTATTTTCTTTATTCGGCCGGCAGGTTGAACAAAGCAAATAGAAGAATGTATTGCTGACTTTACTCTCCTTCTCTTGGGTCTCACTATTGGCCAGCATCACGCTGAGCCAATAACGAGGAGCAAAAGAGAATGGACTAGACTTTCATCCTCAGAAGACTGTCACAATTAGTATATCAGAGTTTCCAGGGCCTTATAGGTCCCAAGGTATTCAGTAAGAGACTTAAACTAACCTACAGGCACCTGGAGGTGCCTTCTTTATACCAATGGAGCATCAGAAAGGCTGAATGTATGCCATGCTTTAAAATAAAGCTGTAATGAGAGAATATGAAGACTGCCCTTGCGCACATCCCCCTCTGGAAATGCCAATTGTCTGGCTGTTATGCATTATCAATGGTTTCAGTACTTTGAGAGACTGACTGGAGAAAGAAAGTATGACTTCCCTCATGCTTTCAAATCGGCATGCTTGCTCCAGCTCACAAGAGTCAAAAGTATTAAAATGAGACAGTCAGACAACGAATGTTCTTAAAAGGAAGAGCAGCAATGGCAGCACTCATATTGATTTTGTTGCAAGCTCCCTTTAAGAACCCTTCACAGAGCTTTCCAAGAGACAAACAGCAGCGCAATGAAGCGCCCTGCCAAAATCATTCCGGTTACCTTCTACAGTGAAGCTGGCCTCATCCGTACCACTTTCTGACCTGCCAAACAGAAACACACATTGGTTAGCCAAAACAGTGATGAACACATTTTTTCTTCCAAAGCAGACAGATGGGTGGCATTACAAATATTTTCAGAATATTTCCTTCTTTCAGCTAAAGAGGGAACAAATTAATACAGAATTCAGCAGCCATCACTAAAATACAGACAAAACCTGGCAGTTTAAAGAAGCCACTGACAACAGAGGAGCTTAGAAAAGTTAGACACCAGCAGTTAGAAATGAAGCACAATGTCTACCTGTCTCCTGGGATCTGCGCTAATGTAACCAGTACTGCAGCATTCATTCCCTGACACAACTTGCACACATTAGTAATCTTATAGGGAAACTGCACTCAACAGGACTTGCTGTGACAATTATCTGTAGCTGGTGTGGGAAAATGGATATAATGTGCTTGAATAAAGCATAAAAGAAAACGTGATACAGTATTTTTAACCACAAACATGGTTAAATGAAGCCAACTGTTTGAAGAGTGGCCAATATACAGTATTTCTAGTGATACACAATTTGACAAAGCGTCTGTTTCTTGCATTGCTGCTGGTGGAGGCTGAGCAATTATTTGGGTCAGTTACATGTGGTAGCCATACCGAATCTAATTTAAGTATCACCTGTAATAAAGGAAAGGTTTTGGCTATGGGGGGGGGGGG